AATATTGCACAGATTTTTACCCAAAACTAATCAAATCTGCGCATTAGTTTGGAGCATCTGTGTGCCAAGTTTCATCAAAATCCAATGAGTGGTTCTTTAGATATCAGTGGAACAGTCATGAAACAGCCAAAAATCAGCTAATTATCATGCAAATTAGGTAATTAATATGCATGGATTTTTACCAAAACCTAATCAAATCTGCGCATTGGTCCAGAGCATATATGCACCAAGTTTCATCAAAAACTGATGTATGGTTCTTGAGATATCAGTGGAACAGACGGACACACATACACACATACACACATACAGACAAACTAACTGCAAAGACTCCCTTTTTGTGCTTCGCACACAGGAGTCAAAAACAGAGGGGTGGGCTTATACTCGTATACTTTTAAAAGAAAAACAGCCCATCCTCAGTTTCCATGGTTTTGTTTTTGAACAGAAATTCCTCTCTCTATGCTAACTTTAGTTACATTTTTTCCTCGCATTTCAAGATGCAGAAACCCGACAATCTGTTAATCCAAATGAGTGCATTCAGCATGAATTATTACCTTAGGTGTAAACTCTTCTAAGAATGTATACGGTGATAGAATAACAAGTAATCCACCAGGAGCTACGAGAGACTCGCACCGACTCAGAAAATCAAATGGATTCTGGAGCCGACAAATAAGATTAGCAGCGACCACGCAACCAAACTGTCCGATATCCAGTGGCAGATTGCATGCATCACCTTGACGAAATGAACACCTGTTTCGATCCTGAAATAAGGAAAACATTTAAAATATAATCTGTGTCAATAATGTGCTACTTGATGATTTCCTTGGATGCTATAATGTATTGAATGTATTTTACTGCCACTGAATAATGTGATACAAACACAAGGCAATTTCGTTGACTTGTTTTTTCAAATCCAGTGAAAATGGCAATAGACGATAACATAAAAAAATCTCCACTGACCAGGACAATATAACATTGATGTAATAAACAAATTTGTATACATACAAACAATCCTAAATGCAAACTGTAAACATATTAATTATTCACTGAATTTTAATTTAGCTATTTTCGCAAATAAATCAAATATGCTAAATTAAATTCATTGAAGATGTAAATAAAAGCTCATTGCTTCCCTGCAAAGTTTGTAAACATAAAACCTAGTGAAAATCGAAATAGTGAAAATAAATGATTTTACAGTACCGGTATATGTATACATGTCACACATAAATTATATCAAGCATTTCCGATCAATATTTTCAGATTTGTCAACTGATCAGAGTAAATACTGAGCCAAAATTTTCATTTTTACCAATAAATACATTCAGAACACAATGCTAGTTTAAATACATGTAAATACTCTACACAGACAGAAGATTAATTTTAGTTGAACAAAATTTATTTTTAAGCTATTTGCATATTATTAGCACAAGTCATTTAGAAAAAAAATATGACTCATGGCAAATTTATTTACGCTGTTAGATATTAACAAGGCAAGCATGGTCTATGCATTAACTATTACAAAAACCCTAGCAGTGGCGGATCCAGCAAAATGTATTGGGTGGGTCCAAGCAACGCTTAAGATATACGAACCATAAATCGCAGAGAAGCTATGCGTAATCCAGATGATACGAATCGTCATGTGTTTGGGGGGGGG